ATACTTGGAGTTATAAAACCTTTGGTTATGTAAGAGTTAAAAAAATAGTACCTCGCGAATTTTCTGCTTTCTGAAATTAAAAAAATTATACAACAGGCATGCAAATCTCTAAGCGCTGTTATTAAATTTTTTCTGAAATTTATTTGTGTTTCTTGCTGTGATCTTAAATTTTAGTCATGGTAAAGAAAATCTGAAGAAGTGAGTTGTTTGACATTTGGAGAAGTGTTGCTGAAACTTCTAAAAGACAATCGTAATCAGCGACCCAGAAAACCCCCAGATTCCCATTTTCATAGAAATCTACCGATTTTTTTTAATTTTCGTCCGCCATATTGGATCCGCCATATTGAATTTTTGGTAAGTGACTTCAGATTCGTAATCAGCGACCCAAAAATCCCCTAGGTAAGAAGTGGTGTAAAGATCCATCAACGAGGTATTGTTTAAATAGTTTCGTCCAGCTAGATTTGCGATCCGAACCACTGTGAAGCGGTACGCCACGAATCGGAGCAGAAGCTCGGCCAAACACTTGGCATTTCTTTTGAGTTTTTGTGTTTCTAAACAAATTTTATAGCATTTCTTAAACGTCATAAGATAAATTTTCTAAGCAAACAAATACCTACGTAAATATGTATGTATATTGGTATGCACAGTGGCGAAAATAAAAATAGGGAGGAGGCATTTCAGGTTTGGCTAGTTTTCTTTCGCTTTTTTAATTTTCATTATTTTTTTATTAAAGTATAATTCGTTATCTAATAAAAAACATGCGAGGCAAAAATTTAAACTTTGTACCAAAATTAGGAAAATTCTTTGTACAAAATTTCATACAAATTTTGAGCTTTTAAATTAGATTTATTAGAAACATTCTGAGTATGCAGTTTTGTATCCCACTTATTTTTGGCAATTTTTGGACATTTTAACAAAAAAAAATTGCAAAAATTCTACGGTAAGTAGTATCTACTTCACACTTTAACTTTATTATACTAAAATTTAATAAGCTAAAAAACTGCATACTCAAGAAAATTCTAACTGCTAAAAAGTTCAAACATTTATGAGCATTTTTTTTAATTCGTCGATTTTTTATAAATGCTCTACAAAGATTGAAAATTTGATTTACATATTTTTTTTATAGATAGTAAGCTATATTTGCATAAAAAAAATAATACAAATTTTTTAAATAAAGAAAAATAGCCAAAACTAGCTAAAATATCCCTTCCCTACTTACATTTTCGCCACCGTATGTATATAGCGGAGTGTTAAAATAGAAAGTCTACAACCGCATTGGAATCTAGTTTTACAGCAGTCATCGGCTTCTCTTTTGGAGTTGATGACGGGTGCCATTATCCACGACGAAGAAATTTCTGGCGCGCACTGGTGAACTCAGTATTGAGTTTTCGAGCTACGCGTTCGATACGAACCTGATGACTGTTTCTATACTTCCTCGAGCTGATGTATTTTTAAAGCCAGATTCGCTAAGCTACGTAACTCCAAGGCGATCGCCGTTAAACCTTAAACCCTGTCTGTAGAATAATAAAAATCCCCTTGCTGCATGGTAAGTTAGCAGCGAGTGTCTCTATTATTTTGTTGACTTTATTAAAGAGTATCGTTTGACGTCTTGCGAAATCTAAAGTGTCCACCTGTCCTAGGCCAATACTTTATTGCTTTTAGGCTATATTTCTTTTGGACAAATTATTTAAGAAGATGTTCATCCTTACCAAATCCGTAACGAATATTTAACTGGAGAAATAAAAGTGATCTATCTATCCTAATCTTTTGGACTTCATAGAATAAGTATTTAGGGCCGTTTTCATGGTGCAGTGGTGCATTCATATTCTGCAGTTAACTTTCAATTTTTGTACTGTAAACCTATACACAGATAACAGCTGAATGTGAGTTAACTCGCCACAGTGGAAAAGGCACTTAGGGCCGTTTGCACCATGTCTAGTTAACGCTAACTGGAGGTACATCCTTCAGTTAAGCACGTTAACTGCTTTATCGATCACATGTTATATGATGGGTGTCCATAACGTCGATAAAGATGTTTAACTGGGAGTTAGAATTAACTAGACATGGTGCAAACGGCCCTTAATATTTTAAAGAACAAAAAAAAAACACAGCACTTTGTTAGCACTTTTCGTTGACTAACATTATACATACATATGTATGTATGTGCATTGAAACGGTTTAATTCTCACTCAATTAATACATGCCACACCATATAGCTGCCGATTTCGTGTTTCATTTGCACTTTTATCATTGAAACTATTTAAAACTTTTAAACGAAGATAAACAAAACAAAAAAAATGCCGGCACTTAATAAACAAAATAAAAGCCGACAGACAGTGTACAAAAAAAAAAATATGTGGAAAAGAAAAACGCTCTGCTCGAACACGATTTAGTCACACGCGTTCATTGTCGGTGGCGATATCGTCGCTAGTGAGTGGGACTATTGTTACTTCTGCCTTAATTTTTCCTTTTGTTTTCTGTGTGATTTTAATTGGTTTTAATGTAATTCAATTTCCAATTCTAATGCAATTGTATGGATTATTATGCGCTACATGTAGTTAGTATTTTTCACAATCATTCCTCGTCTTGTTTTTTACTCATTTGAAATGCTGATTTTTTTTTGTTTTTGTTTCTAGATTTTTCACTTAATTTTAAATGCAAACACATACGCTCAGAAAAACAGTTGGAGAAGCATCGAAGCTGCAAATAGCTTGGCGATATATATATTTTTTTAATTCCACTATTCCACTTTGCACTGCCTGGGAATTAGTAAACTTAGCTCAATGCTGGCGAAATTTTAAATATTCCAATTTTTCCTTTTAGATCTTAGAACTCAGCTTTCAACAATTTTTCGATCCGTGGAAATTCGTACTCGTCGTAGAAACGTTATGTGGCGCGGTTAATGCTAAACTGTTTAGCTGATTTACAAGCAAATCCGTCATTCGCTCCAAAAACACAGACACAATTGCCACAAATTCAATTTGGTGTGAGTTGCCCCGGCAGCCCGGCACCGATCCACCGATCCACCGACCGAAAGTGCCTCCAGCAAGCGGTATTTGGCGGTGCCGGACGACTGCACTTAACAAAGTCTATGAGCGCACTACAATTACTACTATCTATGTCCGTATATGTCTGTGTGTGTGTGTGTGTGTAAGAATGTCTGTTTGCGTAGCTGATTTGTGTAGCGCCTCGATGCTAGAGCTCGGCTTCAATGCGCTAAATCTGATTATAATGCGATCGTGTAAATTAAATCTGCTCATCAGGCATTGTCAGCGGGCTTGATCTGTTGATCTGCGGTTGTCATGTCGCCTTTTGTATCGGCGACATCGTTAAGTATGCGAATGGAAGAGATGAACAATTGGAAGCAGGGGCGTGTTGCAAAAAAGGGCGCTGGAAAAGTGCTGAATTCATGGCCGGAAAGAGAAGAAAATAATAAAACAAGTCCAAGAAAGTCCTAAAGTGCCTTCGAGTCGGCAGCTGAGTTTCTATGTCCGGGTTCTGTCGGGAAAACTGAAATGCTACATCATTCGCGCCTCAGCTTCCTCGACATCCGTGAAGTAAATTGAACTTCCAATTTTAGTTCAGGCAAGTAAGCATACGAAAGAGATTTTGAGTTGGGGTAGACATCTTTAAGCCTTTTGCTAAATAATCTGTGTGAAAATAAAGCCTAGTGCACCAACCGGATCTGGTGACAGCTTGCGGTGAAGGGTTTTGATAAATATCCTCCAGCTCTGGCCCACAGCGGACTTCGATGTGCTGTGCTGCCTGTTGGGTTGTTGATCATAAGGATGCACCCATAATCTGTTCGCAGAGCATTTGTGTTTGGAATATCCAGAGATTCTTCCACTGCGAGTCGCTGGTAGCAATGAATCGTCGTAATTTCCTACAGACCGGTCGATAGCTTTATGGATGGCTGGCAGAGTTTCACTGTTAAACCATTTTTTTTTTGTTTTTGTAAAAGAGTTGACTGAATGTACATTAATGCGGGTCAATTTGTATGGGAAATTTTTTCGACTATGTGCGTATAGTACAGATAGATTCTACGTGTAATGCTAAGCAATTTTACCGGAGAGACCACGGGTCTAACATCATTTGGAGTTTGGAGGTTTTTTAGCATTTTGCTGAATTGTCGTAGAGAAGTGCTTAAATATTGTATAAAAACATGCTATAAGGGATTTAATTATATGAGGAATCCATTTCTGCACTTATCTTTTTCTTTAAACTTCCATCAGAGGACGCAACAGTGAAAATTTTCACTATTTCTTTGAAACCTATTCTCGCAATTTGGCAAACTCCAAATTGATTTTAGACCCATGATTTCATCGTAAAATTTGATTAGAGTTACTCATAGAATCCTCCTATGCTATACGCGTATAGTCAACAAAAATTGACACGCCTTAATGTACATACACATTACGTTCTTGATTGTTTCTTCAACGGCACCGTTTGTTCGACGTGCCGCAGGTCTTCGGAAGACCCATCGCTACTCCGTAGTATGTAAGTGGATCCTCCCGCTTACTTAAATTTTTATGTGCGCCCATGTTTATAATGGCGGCATAGTTGACAGCTTGCTAGATGTGAAGTATAAGATTTGACATCTGTGTGTCCGTATCTAGCTATACACATATAAAAGTCTGCGTCTTTATGAGCGGGCGTAAAGTGGTTCGTTTATTGCGCTCGCGTTGATTATTCATAAAGAGCTTCACTACAATGTTGATGGCTTAATATTTTCGTCTTTTCATGTTCCTTTCCATCTTTATTTTAAAATTGGCATAATAAGCACAAACTAATGGAGATTAAATTAAAAGATGTTGTTGACGACATCGTTTGGAAACAGATATTTCATAGTCTTTTACCAATTTTTTTTTTTTGTTTCATTGTTATATTTTATTTTACTTTTATTTATATTACTTTTAATTAATTATAAACACTATTTTAAGATATTTAGCAGACGAATGCAGCAATTGGCCAATGCTTTGTTTCTTATCATTCTTTTACAGGAGGTTGACGAACTTACCAGCTCACTCTAATACCAATACTCACCCAAGCACAACCATGTCACGATCGGTACAATATGACGCCCACTCTATGACATTCATGTCAAATAAGAAAACAGTTCTCAACCGAAATTGTCACACCACAACACCAACAAAGACGTAAGGAAGTCACCGCCACCCACCTGCATTACCAGCACCCCCTACTGTTTTATTACATATTGTATTCTACAAATTACTAATTCCTAAGTAAGGCGAAGTGAATAAATGTGTACTGCGTACAAATTGAATTAATCCAATGAATTTGCATTGTAAGACGTAAATGGTGGATCGAGAAGCGCCAAAGTTGTAAAGGAGGAATAGGGTAAATACATATGTACATACTAGAGATGGGTACGGGACAGAAATTCCAGTCCCGATCATGCCCATGCCGAAATTCAATTTTTTAGTCCCGAACCCGCCCATTCCGACAGTTTTATGGTTGAAATAAAAAATCTGACATTTTCCGATTATTATTATTTTTTTCTTTGCTGTTCGTTTTCGTGTCAATAAAACATAAAAAACTGCTTAATTCATAAAACTTATTTAAGGAAGATGTTCGGAATTTGTGGACTTTGCGGGTATTATCGGGAAAGGATTTTGGTCCGTCCCGCCCTCAAAATTTTTTAAAAAACCTTCCCGGTACCGCCCATCCCGCCCATTTTGAAATCAGTACCGCGGGTCACGTGGGTCCCGATATCCCGCGCCCATCTCTAGGACATACATATGTATGTATGTAGATATTAACGTAGTAAAATTACGGAGAAATCGAGTGTAAAAAGTATACATAAATGAGGAAAATTTAAGGAATCAAGTCAACGCGCTTAGAGTCTACATATGTACATATATATATATATACATACATATGTATGTACGCAAGAGCGTGGGTGCCTATATGTACAATACAGTGTTGGAAAAATAAATAGGGACGAGACGGTTTAGCAAGTTTTGCCTATTTTTCTTTTGTTTATTTAATATTTATTTTTTTTTATAAAAGTATAGCCCATATAAATTCGTATTTCAAACTTTGTGCAGAAATGATGAAAATTCTGCAAAACTGCACCTAAGTTCAATAAATTATTATGCATATAAACAGTGGCGGATTTATCGTACAGGCAACATAGGCTGAAGCCTAGGGCGGCAGAATTAAGGGGCGGCAAAATTTAAGACAGCTAAATTAAAAGAAAAAAATTTATTTGGATTCAGCTGCACTTGAAATTGTGTTTGTGTCTGTAAAATATTATTAATGATTCATCTCATTCAATACAATTCAAAATTAGAATTACGCTGCGAATTTTTCCTTAGTATAGCAGTCGTTGAAATTTCCATTTAACTTTCATTCACGCGGCTTAGAAACCTGACGGCGCGCCTGCGCGTGACGCAAAGAAACAGCCGACACGCTGCCCCGAGAACGAGAATCATCTAAACGGTTACCACACTTGACAACACTGCCGAAAAACGAGCGTGCATTTTCGAGAAAATTCTTGATTCCAAGCCCACCAGTTTTTCATAAGTGTATCATAACGTGAATAATCTGAAGGTCAGCTTCGCGTGAAAAACTATCTCAGATCTTCATTGAGCGAAAACAAACTGAATGCTCTTGCGTTGCTGACTATAGAGTCAGATTTGTTTCTATCTATCGATTGTGAAGATATTATCCGCGATTCGCAGCTGAAAAATCAAGACGTAAAGAACTGTGAAAAAGAAGTGTTTGAAAGAGGGTTTTTGTTGAATACCTTATCCATGCTGATGTCGAATTTGTTAATTCCGTTATGTATTTCATTATTAACGAACTATATTGTAATAAAGCACTGACAATAACAATCATATTTGATATATATATATTTTTTTTTTTTCGTGAAAAAAGGGCGGCAAGTTATGAATTGCCTAGGGGCGGCAAATATTTAAATCCGCCACTGCATATAAATAAAGTGCTAGTTTGAAGATTTATTTTTTTTTCCTGACTGTATTACGCATTTTTTTTTGCATACAAAAAAAATATGGAACGTAAGTAGGTACTTTATATGGAAAAACTGCGTGAAAAAATTTCAAAAAATCAACGCGTTTTTTTGGCAACCTAAGACTTACTTTATTATACTAAAATTTCATTGACTATAAAACTGCATACTCTAAAAAAAAAAGTTGAAAATTTAGATGCAACTTTGCAGAATTTTTATAATTTTTGCACAAAGTTTTAAATATGCATTTATAAGGTTTTTGTAAGATAATGAGCTATACTTTTATAAAAAAAATTATATTTTCTTTATTTACTTCAATAGTCATAATCTAAAAATCTTGAAAATTTAGTTAAGTATGCAGAAATTACCGCACCTCTTCTTCCATGTTGTGTAAAAATTTCAAAGCTATAACGATTACCAGTATCTCACTGAAACAAATTGAATTCAGAACTTTAATGCCGTTTATCTCGAGTTTGTTTTTTTTGCAGTTATGACACTATTGACGTAAATGAGCGATATGTATAAATTTAAGAATATGTACATACTATATATGTATATATGGGTGTTTCCATGCAGCCGTACGCGACATTCGCACGCTTATGGAGTAACATAAATCTCTCAAAAATAGAAGTTACTGAAAAACAAGATTACGGTTATGTTGCAACCGAAGGGTACTATGTTTGAGGAAGATATAAGCAGCCTCGAAACTTTGGCGTGGAAAATATCCGAACAAAACAAGGTGGTAACGTACGCGACAAAAAAAGAAGTGGTTTTAAGGCACAGATATGTACATATACGCGAAAGTCTGCGAATCATGGGAGTTTTTCTTTTCTTTAAAAATTCATAAACTAAGTTAAATAATCCTTCCTTTTTTAACAGAAATTATCTCTGGTTAGTTTTTATTAAAAAAAAAAAAAAAAACATAACATACGCCACATAACGTATGCGACAGATTTTTCCCCCATACAATTTTTTTACTAGTAACACATACTAAATTAAATTTTTAATTTAATTTTTTCAGTTCTTCTCTCCACCGTTTCGCGTTTTCAAAACCTTTTTCCGCCATCTGAATACGAAATTTAAAGTTATAAAGCCGTTTGAATTCATTTGCTTGCATTTTCGGTTTACATTTTCATGGAAAGACCCATGTACTACATAATATAGACACTATATATGTTCATACTAAATACGTATGCATGTGAATATATATGTAAATACATATAAAAAAAAGCCAATCTCGGAATGGAGTTCGTACACATTTTGTTATAAATATGTACTTCAATTAATTTAAACTGACAAATTGTGCAGTTGCTAGTTGTCGAAGTGTTGCATGCTCAGATACACACATACATATGTATGTATGTATAGGGCTGTTAAGGATCTTGTGCATATGCTCTTGCATTTGCATATTCGTAGCTTTTGTAAATACACAACAATAAAAGGCGGCACACGGTTGTCATGGCTGCAAGCATAAAATTTGCAAATGCAGTTCCAACTGCAAATCCAAGAACATTTCTACAACATCGTGAACACCCCTAATGTACATACATACAAATGAGAATTTTAGAAATGAAAGCTCACAAACCTGCAAGCTAAATTTTCAATTGAATTTAAGTTGCGCTCAAATAAATTGAAAGTATACTTAGCGCTGATCTGAGTGATGCTTGAGGATTTGTGTTTAAGGCTGTGTGCCATTCGGTAACTTTTATCTTCGTGGCGTGACGGGATGAAAAATTTACTATGGTGTACCTACAAATAAATTGAATTATGCTATGCCAAATGCAAGGTAAAATTTTGCAATGGAAAAACCAAACAAACGCTCGCGCGAATTCTTTTTTTGTGTGTTGCTGAAATTGTTGAAATTTCTATTTATTTTGTAACTTGCAAGTAACGTAGGATTTTTTACAAGCTTTTATTTAACTTGCTCTGTATCAATTTATCGTATTTATAGTCCGATTCGGTTCAGATTTGGAACTTAAATTTTAACTAAATGAAAAGGAATATCTCCACTAAAAAATTTCCCGATAGGTGGCGCATGAGTCGATATATTTGGTAAACCAGTATTTATGGCCCGATTTCGTTCATATTTAGAAAGCTTGCCTTAGAAATGTTTGTTTTTACTATTAACTTATTTAGCTTCCATTTAGATTTTCGCTTTTTTTTAGAATCTGTCAAAATTTTATCTGGTCCCATGAGCTACATATGTAAAATTCTGAACTTCCTATTCACCACGAGAAATGCCAAATTTTTAGTTTGATCCGCCAAAATCTCCTCTCTTCTATCAATGGGAACAGGTCCTTAAATGCAAACACTTAAGTATATGCATATTTACATTGAAATGGAATATGTATTCATAAATTACATACAGACATATCGAATGCAGCCTGTTCGAAAACGCACTATCAACATATTTTCAGTTGAGATACGGTGTTTTTGAATCAAATCCTGGGGTAGGGCTGAATTAGTGGTGCCATACCAGCTCTGTAAACGATTATTGGTGTCATACTATAATACCAGAGCCATAACCATAACCGCATGTATCTATTTAATTTTGGTTTTTCGCCATAACCATAAGCAGCTCTGAAGTATTTTGCTATGTTATGGTTAAGGCCCTTCAACCAAATTCTCAGATAGGGCGTTTTTCAAATAAATTCTGAAATAGGGCGTTTTCGAATCGACTGCCGAGATAGGTCCGATTTCCAACTCAGCCGTCTAGTAGTTCCCATCCTTAAGTGATAATGGCAAATAGCATACCTTGCACAGCTTGTTTGCGTCCCTTAACTTTGGCTATAGATGAACAGATGATCGGCGGCACGTAGCATATTTGTTTGGGTATGTAATTTGCTGGTCGTAATTTGCAATAGTGTTATTATATTTGGCACATCAATATAGTACAACCTTGGAATTTGAAGGCGCGTGTTGCGCTCATCTGCCACCAAACACCGCATGATTTCCCGCTTATGGTAGTCCGGTATTTTGTTAAAAAGATGGAGTAGAAATATTCCCAATAGTTTAGAAGAACATTTTATACTACTTGCATTCATAATTTGACAGCAGAGATTCGTTAATTGCAAATTTTTAATGCAGTACACACCAAGCCGGGTGTTGAAGGAATGCACTCGCACGTATGCTGTATACGTAACTTCACTACTCACACACACTTTACACTACGCTACTTCGATTACACAACTATTTATTGCACTATTTTCACTAAAAACTTAAATTTTTCCAAAATATTGGCTTCTCACAGGCCGCGTTGGCAAAGTTTGGCGCACAAAATTAATTTCAATTGTCAAA